ACGTTGTTACACCATGAAATGAATTAGTATCTTACAGAATGTAAATATTTATACGAGTTCTTTACCCTAAATTGAATAACAATAATGATGATTCTTGCAATATTTTGTTGTGCAAAGCGTTGAATATTATTATACTTATCATTTATATTGATTTATCTTGAGAACTTTTATATAGTTTTTAATTACTTGTAATTTAAGTACTTTGTAGCCAACATCTTTACAAAGTTAAACTTTAGGTTAAACTTAAGAAAATTGTATACACATGTGTAGGTATACTTTAGTATTGTATACATGCAAAACAATAAATATCAAAATAGTTTAATTTTAGCTATTTTAATATTGATTTCAACTATGAGTAGGCACTTACCTGATCCATCAAAAACTTTTTAACTTCATATAATAATCGTCTCAAAGTTTAAAGAATATAGCATTAAAGATTTATAATATCTAGCTAGCTATTACTGCAAGATAATGAGCTAAGAAACTTAAAAAATAGTAAAATATATGAAACAATAAAAATAAATGTACTTAATATTTTAATACCGTGAGAAAATATAGGTACACATCTAACCTTAATAAAAAATGTTAAAACCAAGAAATCAAATGGAATAGTAAGGATATGTAAAATAGTTAAGGACATACCTAAACGAAAAATTAACTTAGAAAATCCATAAAGCGAATTTATCAATTACTCGTTATGAATTCATAGAAAACATGTGTAATAATTTTAAAAATAAACTGTAGGTGGTATAAATAAATATATTTTGAACGATTAAAATCGATTTTTTTTATAAGATATGTGTAAATTTTTATGACTTTAATTTGATTTTTTAATAATGTTGTGGACTAAATTTTAAATGTGTTAAACTTTTGTGAAAAAAAAATGACGTGCGTATAATAGTGCGTATAATTTTTGGAAAACAAAGATTATCGCCTTCTCTTGGTGTTTTCTGGATAACGCTAAATGATACTCAAATATTTGACTGAACTATTGTCAACTTAATTTTAAATTGGTCTAAACTACTCTGGGCGAAACGGAAATCATATAAAAACAAAATTTAGGCAAAACGGGTACCCGGGCGAAACGGCCAAACGGGTACGGTCATTTTTGAGCGAAACGGGTCCCGCCCAGAAAAAATAAGCCAAGGATTCACAATTGTTCATTCTTAGAGATGAAAATTCTATAGGTACCCCTTATTAAAATGTAGCTTAACAGCCTGCAGATGAAAATATGTTCTCTACGGCTATAATAAGATCACTACTAAGTTACGCATGTCCAGTAAGGGCTTGAAACAGTTTAGTAATTAATAAAATAAAATACTTTTATAGGTATAATACAAATTTTGATGGTAATGTTGGGGCTATATCAAAATTATGTCTTCGGGCAGTCTTATGGTTGTTATATGCGTATGTATAAAATATAGTATAAATATTTGTTCCCTAATAGTTTGTTGAAATAAATCAATTGATATGATACAAATGTCAACATAAAATGTTATCCAATTGACAGAATCTGGTAAGAGTTTTATGCGTCATAAAATTCGAATGAATGAAACTTGTCATGCACTTATTTCAATTTTCTTGATAGTTATGCGTTATAGTGTTATAGTATATAGACCACTGTCAGAGTTTGGGTTTTATTATTATTATATGTTTTTTTTTTATTATGTCGGTCAAATAGTTAAAGCTTCCCTTGGCGTGATTTGTGTATCGTACAATCATGAACATATATTATATGTTCGATCTGAAGGAACTGCAGTATATGAGATAAAATCATAAAAACATAAGGATTTGTAAAACGGTTTATGAATATATAGTATCTACACTATGACATTCCTAGTTCTTACATACTTATATATTACGCATTATGCACAGATACGTAGATATATAGACAACGTTCGTCAATATTGTCTTTAAGGATGATTAGTTTATATTTAATTAATTTATTAATGTTTTTTGTTTAAGAGTGAACGCGTGTAATTAAAAAAAATATTAAAAGTGTTGTAATAATTATTACTAGGTATTTTGTAGGTAGTTGTAAGTTGTTTGAGTTGAAGAACGATTATACAATTTAAAGAGAATACTCTGTAGTGGATTTAATGTCAAGTATTTAATTTTACGTCGAACATATTTATGTTCTTTGTCGGAAACTCGTGAATAAGATTTATTCAAGAGTGCTCAATGTCCACACCAGGGTAATATTTTAAACTTAAAAATTATATTTCCATGTATTTGATTAAACAAAAATGTACATGGCGAAATCAAGTAATCAATTTGTATTATATGTTTATACGTATAGTTATCTAATTTATATTTTAGATACGCTTTTCTGTAAAACGTATTCATAAATATTTCTTGAATTTAAGGTGAAAAATAAATTATAAATTAATAATTTTTATATTTAATATAAATACCAAATATTTTTTGTTGTAACTAAATTAGTCAGTAATTTATTAGATAATAAATATGTATTTCCATATTTTGTATTTTTAAAATAGTTTAATAATTACACTAATTATTTGAAATGGATATTATTCATACATTTTTACCAATACGAAATATAGAAATACATATTTACAATCTATGCACGTTATTAAAATGAAAACTAATTATAATTAATTAGGATATCTAATTCTATGAAATGCAATATATTATTGTTCTTATTATTATTTTCTACGTTTTGTTTATATCGTGGAAATGAACTACCTACATTGAACATATAACATAAAGAAATACAAAATTACTATGTACATCAGAGACGAGTGTTTTATTAAAGAGTATCGAATTACATAATTAAATACAAATTTTATAAAAAAGTGTTCAAATAAAAAAATTGCAAATATTTTATTTATGGATTTTTAAACTTAGATTATAATATATTATAAATTATAATAATATAAATATAATTTTAAATACGAAAAAGTTTTATATGAAAGTTTTTTCACTAAATTTTTATTACTGTTCATTAGTTTATTCTTTCTGCTTTCTATCAAACTAAGTAGTCAACCGTCGAGAGAGATTTACCTGGTATGTTCATTATTTTATATTTTCAAGAGTTAGGCAACTTTATTTATTTATTATACATGATATATGTTGTGACATACAACTCGAATTAATATCACGTTAATGTTGATTGAAACAGAAAAGTTATGTTCGTCTTATAAAACTAACATCTTATTCTCTTCAACTCATAAATAAAATGATCACAACATTCAAAACTTTGAATATCAATTTTTAAGAATAACTATATCTATATATAGGCATGTTACCATCAGAATTTCACTATTTGAAGAATTATAGGAGTTTCTACATTTCTTTGATCAACCAATTTCTTCATTATAAAGTCTCTAGGAAAATACATATCAATATTATGTTTATGCGTTATTACTAAATTAGTAAGCAACCATTCTACAACATAAACAACATAACAAAAAAAAAAATTATTTAGTCTATGGTTAGTGGTTACATAACACTCATTCACTTTATTCTTACATGGTATATTAGAAGATTATAGGTTGATACACGATAGAAAATGTTTTAAAACTTTCTACATCCCTTTTAGAGTTTATAGATTGGACTTATGTTGTGCTAATTAATTTTTACAATCATTTCTAAAATAAGGGTTTAATTGGTTTATACGTATTCAAAATGTGAATACAAAATTACAGCGGCAATTTTGTTAATTTCACATTAATATTGTACTGTATATATAATATATATATGATGTATAATGTATATTATATTTAGATTTATTTTTGTAACATTTAAATTCATAATATTACGATTTTCAGATTTATTTTAAGTTATAATTGAGTTAAGAAATTACAACTTTAAATTCTTAGACCATGTTATATTTTTATCAATTTAATAAAATAAGTTACAACTAAAAAGTTAACGTCCTAGAAACAAACTTTGTGTTATTGAGTAAGACCACCTCTCAAAATTATTTTATGATTGCAATCATTGATTAAAATGTAAAAATAATTAAAACCCCATATAAATAGGTATATATCTATATGATAACCATTTAAAAACGATGGCACTAACAATGTTTAATATTTTAGAAAATTTAATTATACGATACAAACGATTAACTCAAAGTTGATGTACCTATCTATGTAATCGCTGCATGAGAATACTAAAAAACCATGATTTTCTAGTTTATATGGGACATTGGGACTAACATAAACATATACATTTTACCCTATACAGTATACCTACATCTTACACGGCTACATCCTCATAGCAGTAATATTATATCACCTATTCGTACATATTATGTGCATTTTGCAGACAAAGCCGACAACAGCCTGTGGTTTTACACAAGTTTACCTTAACAATATTACACGGAACGCGTTAAATTATTTAATATTTTACATAATAATATATTCTCATCCAAACAATACTATAGACATTAATGGTAGGTGTACATTATAATTATATATCTAAGTCATGTAAATAATACTAATAATAATCATTTGGAATAGGTACCAACCTACGTCTTTGCCTTTTTTCCGAAATGTACAAACAGTATTCAAACACAGATTCACTTTTCAAAAGTTACGCGTATATTGAATAGGTACTTGAAAATACTTTTATAAATAGTATTATTATTATGATCTCCTTCGATACTCAATCGGCAATTTCGTTATTATTTTTGATATAGTGTCAGATTTACGTGATGCGAGAAAATAATGTTTATCATCTATACTAAAATAAAGTATTTAGTAAACCGAATACAGTGGGTACTCAAATACTCAACACGTTTGCTCACCACGACATACGTTGTTTATGCAAGTATGTACAATATATATTATATACCTTGTACGCCGGTGTTGTGCTCGTATTTAAAAAAAAAAAAAAAATTCGTTCTAGTAACATAATAACATTGTGGACGGACGATTTTTGTCGATGCGCGTACAATATATTATATTATTATGATACATGATAAACATATTATTATTATTTTGTGCTGTGAACGGATTAAATTGGACACCCACCTTTGGTGTTGTGGACCATCGTGAAAACGAGCATTGACCAAAAGTACGTGGACGATACTGCAGTCATGACGGTGGCGGCGACGACACTGCGCGGTGACTACGGCCGCACGCGGTCTGTCCGTGGGCACCTCTGTGCTTCGTGAGCTCGTAAAACAGTGGCGTGCGTCGGCGGCGGCGGTGGCGGTACTATCAACAGCGGCCGGTGACGTTGTCGGCGTTGTCCGTCACCATGTATTATTATTATTATTATTATTATTATTATTACATTCAGTCAAACTTCGAGCGCGGCGATAGTTACCCACCGCTGCAGTCGCCGAGTGCGATGGTTTAAAATATTATAGTGTGACCGGTGTTAGGGTCAGCCGCGGGAGACGACGCATGATTTTTCATAAAATATATAAGAATGACTCGAAAAGGGGCCCACGCCTATTTGGTTTGGACTGACTTTGTTTTTTCCCGGTGAAGCGATGCGTTTATCGTCTGCAGCAATTATGACAAAGTAACAAAAACAATAAATATATTTACCATGCGTGGAATATCCAAGTCGCCGAAATATGGCCAACACTGAAATGTTCTCTTCTGAAACGCGTGTTGTCGGGCGCTCGCTAAAGCTGCTGCGGATTATCCAGCAGATCTAATACGCAATGGGGTTATTAATTCTGTTATTGTTTTTAATGACTCCTTTCAAATGTTGAAAGGTGCCAAAGGATGGTAATTTTTGGTATCCACATGAAAAAAATCACATATTGGCAGTTCGTGAGAGAGGGGGTGAAAAGTGAGTATCCAGTTTTGAAATAAACACCTCACAGTGTACGGTATGTTGTCTCCCACAACATGACAGCGGTTGATCTGTCAACAAACCTAACATAACGGCACTAATCACATACCGAAGTAATAGTCAAATATGAAAACAATATGTTTCCCATTATGGCGGACAAAATGTATAATACAAATATAAATCTCCCACTGAATGTCAATTAGGTACTGCAAGATGAACTCAATTTAGCGTGATATTATCGGCAGACAACCTTGGGTTAACGCTAAATCCCTTGAATTAATGTCATGCAATGTCGTTATTCGGGTCATTTACCCCCTTATTATCTTGTAGGTGTTAAAAACCTAGATTAAATTGCTGATACAGAATTGAATTACCACCCTCGCATTGAAAGCATCTGCTGCAAGGCTTTTAAATTTTTTCAGCTCTGTGAAGAGAACCTGTTCAGAATTTGAACTAGTAACTCCAATCAAGGCCCTTTACCTCGTTTTTGTACCATATAGGTATACTAGAGTATGACGTGATACTATATAGTATATGGGATCCGAAGGTTTTAATTTGTGTAAGTAAATAAAGTGTATGTAGCGAAAATACTTGAGTTTTGCTTCTTTTGTACTAAAGATTGAACATGTACACGACTATACATTCCACTACTTCAGTATGCTCAGTCCCTTGACCTGTCCTATCTAACTGACAGCAGCTTAACGTTTAATAAATTTGTACCTATACTGGCTATACTTGTAATAAGTTGCAGGCTAGAACGCTATAGGACGTGTTTGGTTATCACTTATTGCACATGTTATATAAATACGAAAACCAACTTTCCCATTGGTAACCAGCTATATATACTATACCATGCGTCGTTAATATGAGAAAACCACCGCATGGGTACGTCATATCTGAACTTTGAATATAATATGAAACTGTTGTAATTATACACATTATATTATAATACAAACATCGCAACGTGCTTGTGTACGCGTAAAAATGATTGAGAAAACTCAGCGCGGCCGAGAAGGGGAAGGGACGCCCCAGAGCCTCGTCAATATTATGAAAAAGCAAATATAATAAACGTCTACCGTGCAAGAGTGTACCTATATAGGTGTACGTATAGTGAACACAATATTACAATATAGGCGTGTAATATTATACATATAGATGTAGTGACGGCGGCCGTCGTCTTTGCGCGAAATAATTGTATGCAAACACTGCTGCAGTGGTTGGTATATTATAATACAGAGGTATTATACCAATATGTACAAGAAAAAAACCACTATAGTAATAAAATACCTATAGGGTACCTGTATAACTCTCGTGGTCGTCCCGTTTTCGAGTTGTAGAATAATAATAATAATAATAATAATAATGATAATAATAAAGAAAAAAAATCGAAACGAAAAGAAGTAAATTATAAATAATGAGCTGCGATAAAACGCGCGTGTTCCTGTGTAGCTGCTATATACATACGAAATATGCAATATTATGCGTATAAATTATATTTATATTATGTTTATACAACTTAACTACAGCTGTAGAACGGCTCGGGTCGTCGTCGAGACAGCTGCCGCCGGGGACTGAAATATACACGAGTACCCATCAGTACCTCTACCTGCGAACATATATTATAGCATTACACACGATATTTTGTATCCATAGTACTATAGGTACTTGTATGTTATCCAGCACTTGAAATGCGGTCGTATGTGGACTGAAAAATAATCCTTTGCTCGCGGTATACTCTTCGATTATCGAGTGGTGCAGTATTCTCCATCCGATCAGCGGGCGGGGAGGGTTGACAGTGTCTCATAACGAGTCAATATTCCGTCGCTCGAACACAATCATCTCGTCACTATACGCATGCGATTCGGTGCCGTGAGGATCATTTTTCGGGATCTTAGGCTCGGAGCACGCAGAAATACTGCCGATATACTTTGCCGCAATACACCTGAGTAATACAACACGGATATTATTGGTGCCATTCGACCACGGTGGCCATATATTAAATATAAATCGGTCATTCGAGTATTATCACGTTATCGCGTACTCAAGCGTTGTTTTTTTTTTTTGGAGGGGAGGGGGGTCGAAGAAACACGAGTAAGTATAATATTGTAGTTTACTCACCCCCATCAGCACCGAAGATTTCTGCGCGGCGATGTCGGCGAGTGACGATTACGTCGTCCGGAAATGGACCACGTTGCGACGGAACTTCTTGCCCAGAATGTCGCCGGCGGCCCTCCAGTTGTCCGTCGGCCGAGCGGCGACCGTGGCGAAATCGTCGTGCGTACTTATCGACGAGTACACCAGCCACAGCACGGTGCACGGAATGCGATACATATCCAAAGCCAGTCTGTTGGAGAAGTGAGTCGTTTGCAGTCGTTATAATAGATGAACATTTTGAAACCGGACGTTTTAATTTGATTTGGGATGTAGGTACATATACCTATGATGTATGTATATTTTTTTCCTTCCTGTTGTCATTGTTGATTATCATTGTTAATCATTGAGAAGATCTCCGGTCCAATTTATTTTGAGAAGCCGTGATAGACTTAAAACGTTTCAACATATTTTTATTTGTACGGTGATAATAATAATTATGGTTTGGCTCAAAGCTTTTTTTTTTGTCAACATTCTTCCGATACTTTTTTTTCTCTATTTAGTTAGCTATCATTTTAGGATTTCATTTCGTCTTATCCGCTTACTATTAAAGTTGTGTTCTAAATATAAGATTATTCTTCAGACTGACCATTTTCACGTAAATAATAAATAAAGAATAATATAAAATCAATATTTATAAGAATTTAAACTGCATAGATATGTCGTGTATTAATACCCAATAATAAAAGAGGGGTATTGGAATAACAGAGGACACTCAGAGTCTTTTTTTGCACTTCTTTAAATACTCTTCTTTAAGTCTTAACTAATTAACTATAATACCTAAACCTAAGTATATTACTTCAATATTTTAAATAAACCCATGCATTAAAATTTTTAGAAACATTTTCAGGTGTAAACTATGAAATTGAATAATAATTTACCATGTAAAGATTGATGTAAAAAAAAATATTCTTCATGCATATATCGAGTGATGGCTCTGGGAGTATATATTAAAGATGAGACGAAGTATGAATTTATTTTTAATATATTTTATTCAAAGTCAAGTTTCACATTAGAAACATAACTCGTTGATTGATGCATTATGAAAACTTAACTGTGGTGTAAATGTATAATTTATACAACTAAGCAGTTAATAATAAAAGTCATCTATTGAAAATAAAAATGATTTTTAATTTCAAAGTTATGATGAGTTTTAAACACACCAACCTAATTATATATATATATATAAATTAAAAATTATTTACTTCAAATTTAATGTGACTATCTTGAATATTTAATACTGAAATATTATTTTCAGAAACATAAAAATTGATAAAGAAAATGAGTTTCAAATATATGTAATAAGTTTATATGCTATTTGTTTGAAACATAATTCGTTACATTATTACACGCTGCTGTACAGTACTTCTATATTTATATAGTATATAAGTCTATACTCTTCGTCCATACTGTTTATTTTCAAAATTGTATTTACTTTTTAAATTATCATTACGCGCGCTTTTCAAGCTTGGCGCATTAACTGGAAATGGAGACTGGAGTTGTGTACATATTTATATACGAACACAATAATATAATATACGATTGTCGATTTGCGAAACGTTTATGCTCGGTATAAACATTACGTGATTTATATTACACGTCATTATAAATGTACATATAATAATAATAATTAATATAAACGGTCACTTGATGAAATACATGATATGTTAAAAATGCGAATAATGAATATTACCATACGCACGATGATACAATAAATTAAATTAAATTCTACATACACGAATGCTTTCGACTCGGCAGGGACGTACCCACTCAGGAATTTGTTAATGATTAAGTCTATCTTGATTTGATCATCACAAAACAATTTTGGTTTTCTTCAAAATCAATAGATGAGTTATAGATAACCATTTGTTATATAACGGTAAACATTTAGCCTTAAAAATAGTTTTAATATTTTAACTATACTATTGTGATAATTTACAGTTATATTTTTGTAACTTTAATCTGTTTTTTTCAATAAGGGGGGGGGGTCCGAAAACACCATCATTGACACCTCTGGTGGACGGTTATATGTATATACGTACTTAACTCAACGGCCACTTCTACTTTTCTTTAGCCCTATTAATACTTCTATTTTTTTTTTCCACGGAAAAAATTGCTTTGGGATGTCTTCTACGTCCAGCACGACGTTACTTATATCCCATATTATAATTGGGGTTAAGATATTTATGAATTTTAGAGATGTTTCCTTTAGTCATAAATTATATTGCAAACAAAAATATTATCAATCCTTATGGTACGTCGGTACGACGTAGAAACACCTTGTTAAAATAAATACTATTTTGGATAAATACTATTTTTCTATTATAGCTATAAAAGAATTTTTTGTTATTACCTACTAAAACGAACATTTTTTATATCTTTTCGAAAGTTAATTTGAATTATTTACATTGCAGAACATTTTTTTCAAATTTTAGATTTCATAGTACATTAAAAAAAAATGCTATTATTATATTAGATTAATCACGGACAGGTGCTCGTTCACTCTACACATCACAAGTTTATCATATACTTAATTTTACAGACTTCCACACTTAGGCAATACCCATTGGCCATTGCCCATTACCCATAGGTTATAGGTAGGTATAATAGTTCGTGTCGGAACGAATGTGCATGGTATATGAAATAAGTGGATACCTAATTTCTTTTAATAATCTATTATAAATATAGCAAAGTATAATATACTAAGTATATTTTAAATCAATAATCACTAACACAATAATTTGTTATGCTTTTTATAACGTCACATTAGTATTTTAGGCATATTTACATACTTTTATTAGTTTTTAAAGGCTTGAATAAATATCATAAGACATAAGTCATAACACTAATTATAAATATATGAATTATGAATTGTGTTTTTGAAGTTAAGCACCTAATAAAATATACAGGCGTTAGGTAGGCTGATAAAGCAGTTCGTCATATTGATAAATTTTCACAGTATGTTCCTATGCAGTTATCGTTATGTAGGTAGCAGGGAGGACCTTAAATGTATAATTTTGACTTAATTTTAAAATCAAGTTCATCAATCAAAAACTAATAATACAATGAGTCGTGGATAATTTACTCAATATAATAATAATATATATTTATATAATATGCTGAATGGACAAACATAATATATTGATAAATAAGATGAATTTGGTGTGCCAATATCATAATAATATAGTCATATTAAAGGTCAGTCTATGTTTGATGTCTGAGCCGTTCAAGTAATGACTGTTGGCTGTTGAATATTTAAGTACCCATCTGTTCAACTCTTATAACGTATTATATGACCGAATACCCTGCATTAATATTTCAATAACAATTAATAAGTGCAATCAATAAATTTAATTATTTAAATATTCTAGCCTAGAACATACCAGCTATACATTATATCATATAATGCAGGTACGAGTATAGCTGCTATACTGAGCCAACATCGTATCGTTATTTTAGTATAATATTTGTTTAACTTCAAACAATTGGTAATTTTTTCCGTCACAAAATAAATATTTCGTTTTTAAAAGTTTCAAATTGAAATTAATGTAATAGTATCATATGCGAATATTATTAACGTAATTAACCCTTACATTTATATGTCCATTTTATTTTAACTACTCCATATTATATTATTACTAGCTATATTGTGTTCTTAATATTATAAGTCATAAAAAATAAGATACGTCATAGATTATACATTGTAGAATAGGGTTCTCGTTCTTATCCGTTATGTTAATAATAAATAAATATAGATAGATATGGGTGCGGTGATATTATATCGTACTTGTTATGTATTTGTTAATAAGATAAATGTAACAATTCTGAAAACCACGAAAAGATGTGTAATTTCGTTATAAGAAATAGATAAACACATAATGATAATATATTTATTTGTGGTCCATAAAATATTGGTCTGAACCCCAAAACATGGATAAACGCTAGACGATCTTATACATACATGTTTTCTAGCTAGGTAAATAATATAATATATGTCATATTTGCGCAGTTCCTTCACACTGCTCGCCTTCGATGAGGTGATTTTTTGGCGGTAAATAGGGATTTTCCGAGGTGGATTTAAGTTCCATTTTGTAAACTAGACTGCATAATATTATCATTGATATTACACCTTATTGTGCAAATAAATTTGAGTTATAAGTTAATATAATAGTGGATACTCTGCAATCTATTAAGTTTTATTTTCGATTTCAGGGTTAAACTATAGATAGATAACTCATTCATACAATCATACGCCGTATGTGGTACAGTCTTATAGGTTAGGTACCTATACAGTCCTACCGCTACCGATATATAACATGAATCTTAATATTCTATACCATCGTCGTTTATACATTACACAATAAATTTAAATTCCATTCGGTTTTACAGCAATTTATTATTTTAAATTTATTATTAAAAAAAATCCACATATTCAAATATGAGAATAATATGTAAGGAATTTGGATCGCGTTTATGGAATGCTCAATGTAATAAACGTGCCCATAAACGGGGCAAACTATAGAACATTAGAATTCATAACATTGTCGTTTAATTTAGAGAATATAAAAATAACTCAAGAAGAATTATATAGAATTAAAATGATATGTGCATAGTAAATAATTATTGCAATTTCATATTTTAACAAAATTACATATTAAATAAGAGAATGTCGTCTTATAACTTATAGAAATGACAATGCAAAAGGTACTTTTTTGTTTCATACGTATATTTACCTACCTATACTTAATTGTATTGTACATATAATTCAACAAGTATCTCTTAAACATTTCGAAAGCCGATATCAATTTTAATTGATTCAAAAAAATTATTATTGTTCTAATGCTTGTCCTTGAAAACAAATAATATTTTCAAAAAGGTTAAATACACGTGAATACTTAATGTAGATATACAAGTATAAGCAATATGCGTAAAATCATTATTAAGATAATATCTGAAATTTAGTAGTATAACTTAAGTAGGTACCTATAGAATAGTAAAATCATTTTTGAAACAAAATCAGAACACACAATTTCCGTTTTACGAATGTTATACGCAGAGGTTGACAGGTACTTACGTGCTGGTTGTTTATAATTCAAGTTAAAAGTATTTCTAACATAATATAATATATGCATATAAAAGAAAACTTTTTAAGAATATTACATTATATTATATTTTATATAAATTACTTTATACATAACAAGTGTTTGTTCTTAATGATATAGGTAGTAGAAACATATTTTAATCCTAGTTTGTATTAGAGCTAGGTGGTAAAATACGAGTAGGTACACGGTACACCAAAAATTACTCTTTCGTTATGTGACAATATAGGTAATTAAATAATATTAAATTGTGTTATGTAACATTGTTTTAATATAAATATATTGTTAGGGTCATAGTCTCAACTTTAAAAGTTATAGTTTAGAGTAGTTAGTTTTTACTTTCTAATTTTCTATATCTAGTGATGTATTTGTGTAAGGCATAATAATCGAGTAAATATAAATGGCGAAGAGTGAATTGCTAAACTTCAAAGACATTTTTTTTAAAGATAGATATTATTTAAATAAAAATATAAAACTTATATTTTCCTTACCGCATGAAAAAAACATTGATTCATATATTATATTATGTTTTTGGTTGTAAAGCGAAATAGGATACGTCAAATCGTTAAGAAAATAATTAATATGATCGAATAAAATTGTAGACATTGTTTGGTTGCCATGACAACTGTAACCGCTAGTAAAAATTCTTGTTCGTACACTAAAAATGTATATCCGCAGCACAAAAATACTCAATACATATTGTTAACCCATAGTTATGATAGTCGAAATATTTTTACTTAGTTCCGATAAAGATTATACATTTTTACCCGTTGTGTGAACGTTTCATTAAGTTGAATATTAAAAAATCAAAATATAAAATTTAGCTGATGTTGCCTGGATATTAAATACAATGTAGGTATCAAAAAATATTGTAAGCGCCTACCTATTGTTGAAGATAACCTAATAAATTAATAACTAGGTACCCAATCATAATAAAAATGGTTTTCATAAATTAATTAATAAATAAATATTAACTTAATAAATGAGAAGAGTTTTGAAATATAAAATTGAATCAATTATTAAAATGGCTGATTTATACATTACTTATATTGTATCTATAAACTAATTTTTAATGAGCCTATTTTTCCCACAGAGTATTATTCTATAAAATTTATTTCCAGAATTTTTTGGATTACAATGTTAACCATTTGTGGACTTTCGGCATGTTATATTGGAGACGAGTTATGGCTCAAGTTCCGTTCCAAACCTACACAACTGGCAGTTAAAGACACCCATGTGCCTTTGTACGAGTTTCCATTCCCCTCTATTACCATCTGTCCAGCAATCAAGGTTAAAAAGACAAAAGGTCTTGAATACTTTTCAAGGTAATCAAATCAGCAATTAACTTTGCGATATACTTACATCGATAAAAGCCACTTTTCCGTTTGAACTTTTAACTTAAAAAACCCCTCCATCTGTAAGATAATTATAATATTAATTTAATAATAATAGATATCTGTTATTTTGTAGGTTTATCCGTATCGACAACGATACAGTACGAACTGGATTATTGAATATAATGAGCGCCTTATCGACGATGCAACAGCCGACTTATTTTCGAATGGCGGAGTACGTGGATAAGTCCAAACACTTGTTTCCCTTCCTCAGAGATATAAACTTGACTGATTTTATGTTGACGACCCTGCCAACATGTGATGAACTATTTGGCCGGTGCAAATGGCACGGCGAAAAGATTTCGTGCTGCGAAGAGTTCTCCCTTCAGAGGACTGAGGAAGGATTTTGTTATTCATTCAATTCGCTGACTTCCGAAGCTGGAAAACACTGGTATTATATTATGTTCAATTGTTCAATGTTCATAAGCTGAAATTTAAACTAATATGAGTTATAACTGTGCATGATATATCTCAGTATTTAATAATAAAAGGTCCTGTCAACATTTAAAACCTACTGGAATGTTATATTATATAACGTAATATAATATATAACTTATATATTATGACCACTAATAGTTATAATAACCAATAAATATCACTTTTTTGACTTTCATAGATGCATCATAATAAAATATATCATAATAATCTTCCCGTTCTAAACGTAATATACTCAATTAAAAGTAAAACATTTCGAATAAAACATAATAATAGAATACTATTTATAAATGCTTATCGACACCCAGTGGCCAGTATGGTATAGATTATAGAACCTACTTAAATAAATCATATTAATAATTAAAATATAATAATTATTTAATGTACATTCATAATATAATACAATATTGTTAATTTACAGTCCTCTTTCCGAAGTTTTAGAAAACGAAGGCATCGAAGAAGAAGATGACTATATGTATCCTGGATGTCAACTGAGGAGAAATACCGCCGTAGGTACGGTCACAGGTCTAGAAGTGTTTCTGTATGAAACAAATATGTCTGAATCGTTGGGCCTGGGACAGCGTGACATAGACGGCGCTAGGGTACGAACAAAATACGCAAACCTAGGTTATTACCTATAACCTTAATATTAATTACACATAGATCATGATCCACACGTCGTACCAGTTTCCAAATGCGGGAGACGGTATATGGTTGAGGTCTGAACAGGGCCGACGACTGAACATCATGATTTCGCCTGTGATAACCGTGACCAGCAATCGGGTAAAAGATCTGAGTGTGGCGGCTAGGGGCTGCGTATTTCCGGACGAGAGGGAGTTGTACATCTATCACGTATACACGCAGAGTTCGTGTCTGATCCAGTGTCGCATGGAATTCATATTGTACACGTGCGGTTGTCACATGTATTTTTTCATAACACCCGGTAAGTAGTGAAGTGTAGGCATAGATAGTAGTAGTATTCTACTTCTTCACATATCTATTATAATATCCGACAGCATTAAAACACCAGCCAACACCTTGATTTTTTGGAAGAGGAAGTGATAGAGACTCTGATTAAAGACTGGTGTTTAACGCTGACCATTATATGCATACTGACTAACATTGCATATTCATTTTCCGTGGGAGGTGGGGGGGGGGGGAGAGGTAATTTATTAACGAAGTTATTTGTATTATTGAATATGGCATTTTATGGAATTGGGTGTACCTACTTATATCTATTAATTTTTAGTGGAGCCATTATTGTAGTATTTATTCAACAGCAATAGACGTACTTATAGATACAATACATACCCAAACCTATAGGTACAATTTTCTAAAAAAATATTTATTTTAAAACGAATAGTTGAAAACCTGGAACACATTAACGAATTACTATTAACTATATTCATTCGAATAAGATAATTTTTACTCGACTGACGTCCAGCAAGGTTGCACTTTTTGAAAATAGCAGCACGTCACGCGTCATACTGTCATATGAGTGAAGGTATATAATATAATAATTATTAAAATAATTTTGAATTTTATGGTTTTATCGTAGAAATTAAAGTTTATACATTAATATAGTTGAAGGTAACGCAGAAATTATATTTATTTATTGCAGATGACGGAAAACCAATGTGTGGTATACCAGATATACCTTGTATAAATCATAATACCCGTAAGTATAAATTAGTTCCTATGATAAAAATGATAAAATATAATATAATAAGGTGTGATCTTAAGGTACCTATGCACATTTTTTTACACTTTTGCATGCCCATTCGGCATTCTTATTGTTATAAAATTTAGGCACTGGTGATGAAGAGTAAAGACTATTGAGTAGGAAATACACAATACACCGACAATGTCAAAGTATAGGTACATATATAATAATAGAAAATTACCCGTAATACATAGAAAATATTACATTGATGTTGAATCCTATCATATAGAGTGATTTTTAACTATGTAAATCCATTTGTATACCTACATTCATTTAGGTCTGATGTTTGGAAGTTTTAAGTTACAAAATTTCATATGTACCCACTTGGATTTTTTTATGTAATTTAAGAAGTTTTGGCAATGCAATTTTTAGCTTTTTAATTACCTAGATTAATATTGTTTTTAAACTATGATGTAAGTATCGAGTTAGTCAAATATTTATTAATATACAGTTATGTTATACTGTTGGCATGCTTAACTTAATATCACATGTCTTGTAGGTACCTAATACATTATATTATTTGTTTTTCATTTTTAATTTTTATTTATTATTAGTTGTCTGTTATACAGGTCATATTAGAATGTTAACTCCACCGAAAGGTACTCCTGGTTTCGAGGCTCGACTCATACGCGATTCGCTGGATTGTTCACAATGCATACCTACTTGTTACGAGACAACGCATGAAATTGAGATGGAGTCATCTCCTGATCAAAGAACGTCCGTTTGGAAGTCGTTCAGCTATTTGGACGTGGCGTATGGAAACTTGGGTTCCAAAAAATATCAAAGGGACATAACTTTTGCTTGGACGGATCTTTTGGGTTGGTATATCTACCAACGAACAGTTAATTAACCTGCCTATACAATATATAATCAGTGCTTGAGTTGGAATAAAAATTAGAAGATGCAAAACTGTAAAAAAAAATTGCTCGTATCTGAAGATTTAAATTTTTCTATCGATTTGGATTTAATTAGAAGAATTATGTATTCTTACGTTAGGTAGGCTAGGTAGTACAGAAATGTCATACTTAGTCCTCCTTCAATTCAATCACTGAATATATATAGTATACAGCTTTATAATCATGTATCCAATTATTTAAGTTAAATTATTTATTTACATTGCAGTAGCACTGGGCGGTGTCGCCAACTTGTTTTTGGGGTTCAGCATATTGAGCGTAGCCGAATTCATTTATTGGACCCTGAAAATATGTGTCAACTCATTTATTAGACTACGCAAATAGTTAGTATATAGCTAGGTACCACCTTTATATTATATTGTAAAAACATATCATTATAATAAACGAATTCAAACGTACCAATATTACTATTACATATATTGTGGAACGGCTGATATTTATTTTCAATACATCCTACCCCTAATAATATATAATTATATAAGTTCAACATACCGTGCAACGTGCTTACATATAGCTAGTAGGCACCAGTTACCGGAAAACCTTTCAGTTGTGTTTTAAATCCAGCGCACGAACATGAACCCCACACAGGGGCCAACGTTTTGGAAAAAAGAATTCGCTTGGTCTTATTCTACCGTCGAGAGACTAGCGATAGCCAAGAGTAAACGGCTGGGCAATATTTTCAGAGAATACTCTCGATACTGTACTGTACACGGCGTCCAATACATATTTAAAGATAATTCCAGTTTGATTGAACGGTTAGATATTATTTAAAACCATTTTATATCGTTTTGATGGCGTAAAACATACGTACACTTACCTACCTCTATCGGTACCGCAATAATCATTCGTCGACGACGACATACCTATACGTTATTTCAGATGCGGTTGGTTAATCATCGTGTTGACCAGTTTCGTCTGCGCTAGTATTCTGGTACATACCATGTGGCTAAAGTTCAACTCCTCGCCAACGGTTACCGCAGTCAAGGACACACACTTGGCGTTGTACTCGCTTCCGTTTCCGGCCGTCAATGTCTGTCCCATGGACAAGATAAAACGTTTGGTGGCCCATAAGTACATGGCCGACAGAATAAACGCTTCGTTTCAAGAGTCCGAATTGGACAACTTCCTCAACGCGTTGACGCTATTTCAGCACCCGCTCTACAGTAGAATGTTATTTTACATAAATAACGGAATTGACGGATTTTTGTCCAAATTAACTACTATCAATATTACAGATTTTATGTTACAAGTAAGTAGGTACTGTATTACTGTACCCGTACTAGTTTCCTGTATAGTTACTTAGGTATTGTCCAGGTAAGTAAGTACCTAGAAACGTAGGTAATATTTAAAATATTGCAATATACAAATTATAAAATATAAATGTATTTAATATTGTGCGTTTAAATTTCTTCGATTATGCTGCAGGTAATGCCGACGTGTAACGAAGTGTTCAACGCTTGTTTTTGGATAGGACACTCTTACAATTGTTGCGACTTGTTCAGCTTACAGAGATCTGAGGAGGGTTTTTGCTATTCGTTCAACTCGCTGACTTCCGTTAAAAAATCGGATTGGTAATGAATTTCTCCGTTGAGCATATTATTTTAAACAAAAATCGATAAAATATATTAGTTAACCGGTGATTACCGGACACGTATTTTCAGTCCTATGTTTAGCACACTGGAGACTGATACGGATACGGCTTATACGAACTCCACGAATTGGGAATGTATACTGAGACGGAATACAGCAGCCGGTTCTACTTCAGGATTGCAAATTTTTTTCAAGCAATTCGACAAATCAGAACGCTTGATAAACGCTTCTAAAATTACTGGTCAGCCGGCTGTCAGGGTGAATGAAAAAAGATTGAATTATGTTAAGCTATTGTTATCTATATGTGCATAAGTAGGTGGTTGACAGCCGCTGGTTATAGGTACATAGTAATATTATTATAAGACGCCGCGGAATAAATATTGCATCGTATATACGATCGAAGAAATCATTTGACTTGTTTGTTTACAGGTTCAAGTGTTTTATGTGAACGAGTATCCAGAATCCGGCATGGGCAGCATTGTCACGGCAAAGAAAGGGACTAAACTGAGTATTATGGTAAAACCATTTGTCACCATAAGCACAGATAGAATCAAACACCTCCCCGTGGCGGAGCGGTTTTGTTATTTTCCCGATGAACAACATTTGAGTGTGTCGAGGTCATACACTCAAAAGTCATGTCTCATAGAATGTCGTTTAAATTATTTACACAGAAAATGTGATTGTCGTCCATATTACTTCAACATGCTCGGTAAGTGGAAATGAAAAAAAAAAAATCCTAATGATTGCTTGATAATATTTTTGAAACCAACACAATCAAAATCAGTAGGTATTCACCTAAAACGTATTTTAAATACTTAACTTTTTATTTTATATTTAAAAATACTAAATTCTATAAAAAAATATGAACTGGAGCATGCTACTATATATATTTTGCCTCTACAAAGAAAATTGAGGAATCATAGATATGTTTTTTGGTAGGTATAGTGGAAAAACATTTAGTAGCATTATGCTACATTTTGTTAGACATTTAATGAAAAAGAATTATAGATCGATTTTTGATATTTTTATTGATTTGCGTTTCTATGTTAATAAACGCGGTACACAAAATCGAATAGAAAAATTTGTTAGAAAAAAAAAACTGTATCTAGGCCAAAAAGCCAAAAACAAATCTCAAATATGTTAAAATCTCAAATATACAAATTTCTATAAGAATGATTTATCTATTGATTCATCCATTCAAATTAAAAAAAAACTTGGTAACCCAAATTCCGGTACTAAATAGCTACCTTACCAAAGACAAATAAGTATTAAAATAATGGTTTAAAAGTAAAAATAATAAAAGTCAAGAGAATCCGCGTCAAGTATAATTAATATAAAAATAAATAATTTTAAAATTAATAAACATTTGAAGTTATTTATTGTTATTGGGTATATTATTTTTAAGATTTTATATCATTTTGTAAATTATAACTAAAATGTAACATGTATAAGGTACGTATAACATGTATAACCTAACCTACTTTTCGTTTTTAGATAATCGTATACCGATATGCAACTCGACACAGCTGCTATGCATTGCACAGCACAACAGTGAGTTGCGATTCTACAGTCCACCGATAGGCAACATAAGAGGTTTTCTGCTGACAGAGATGAAGTCACCTCTCAACTGTTCCCAGTGTTTGCCCACGTGCCACGAAAGCGTATTTGATCTGGACGTGGATTATTCTTTGGATTCGCTGCCACTGACAAGGAGGAGTTACGGATCTGTGGACATATTCTACAGGAACGAAGGAGCAGTGAAGTATGAGAGAGACGTTACGTTCGGCTGGATCGACTTGTTAGGTATTATTTAATTTATCAAAATAAAACAAAATACCTACGTGTTACGAGTACGCTTGGAGGAAGTTAAACTTATTTTGGAGTTATTCAGCTGATATATAAAATTCGATTTGTGATGGAATAAAAAAAAGAACACCAAAAAATATAGTCACCGATATAGGTGGGAATAAGCTTATGACAAAATCTCTGTTTACTAGTTCCTAATACCCATATACCAGACAACTACACTTGTAAATAGTAATAATAATGAGTAATAAGTAATAACTAATATCCTTCCATTTATGGTATACCATAATTTAATAAATAATAATATATAATATTACAGTTATCCAATTTTTTTTTAAATGAAAATCAATACATATTGTTTTATTAGTTAATAGTTTTATACTTTTTTTTATGGTAATTTAGTGTCATTTGGAGGAATTGCTGGTTTGTTTTTGGGATTTAGTTTGTTGACAATCATTGAGTTTGTGTACTGGGGCATTAAGTTCCTCATATATCAATACAAGAAGCCTTCTTCGCCAACAAACAAGATAACACCTACATATGAATAATTGCACGTTTATTAAATTACGAAACATTACTGTTATAAAAATATATAATATATAATAATTATTTAATGACAACTCACATGCTGTAAAATCTTAATATAAAACATTGGTATAACAATAATATAATATTTATAGATTAGACATTAAATTTAAACATAATTTAACTTAATATACTTCATGTTTTAAAAAAAATATTATTTTGTAAAATATAACACACTAAACAGTTGTTTTGAATTAGAATATAGCTTGTTGTGTTTTAACAATTGTTTAAAATGCAACATATTACAATATTATACACCTAGCAGTCTATTAATTTAATATTGGCTACATAAAAATGTACTGTATCAAAAATATGTTTTTCTAAATAAAGTCAACATAATATTCTATGCCACTGTGTATACAAAATCAACAACTTATGACTACTAATAGCAGCAAAAATAACCATTTATCTATATATGTAGGTACGTCAACTATAAAAATATAATTTCATGTTATATAATTTAAAAAATAATTAGAATTTATCATAAGATACAAGTATAAGTATATTATATATACACATCATATGGTAGAGTAATAATTTGATTAAAAGCATATTGAATAAATCACAGGCACCTAAATGATAAACATTATAATTATAAGTAATGAGTAATGGCAATAAAAAATATAAACTTTATATAACTATAGATCATGCATCTTACTGATATAAGTTGTTGTATTATAAAATAAAAATACCTATTAGGTTTAATTTTGTGTTTAAAAAAAAATAAAATGTTCAGTTTTCATTAATACTTATGTCAATTGTTCGGCACGACAGAGTATCTTTCAACAAGCAGTAAGTTGCAGTCATCACAAACACGAACAGGTTTAGCAGATGATGGCAACATCATTGTGTTGTCAGAACACATTGCGCAAAATATTCCACCACAGTTTCTACAGTGATGCTGTTTTTGTAACATAAAAACCATACACACATACAAATTTATTAAGTATTAAACATTTAAAAGAACAAAATAGAATATTATAGTAAGTATTGTCTTACTTTTCTTCTCGTTAAGCTAAATTCTTTTTCACATTTTTTGCAATTGGCCACCTCATTATCGCGTTCCCAGTGTGCTTGCGCCGATGCACTGTTAGCGGCTTCTTCCAGTTCATTGGATTTTAATATCTCCTTTTTCAACTGATTGGCTAATTCTTCAAGTGCTAATTCTTGGCCTTGATACTTTTCTTTTAATCTGTGATGTTCCTCCTGTAAGTGAACATACTCCTATGCAAGTGAAAATAAATTTTAATCGAACAAAATTATAGACAGTTAAAAAACCAAGATAATAATTTACATTTGACATTGCTTTTAGTTGAACAATTTCTTCGTCGAGACGAGTTGTTTGATTTCCTGCCTTGGATAATTGTTCCTCAAGAGCAGACTTAGATTGTTGCTCTTTAACTAAGTCCTCTTTTAATTTCACGATAGTTGTTGTCTGTCCAGCAATTTGATCGTGGTATCTAAGTACCGAATCAGATATTTTTTTCTTCTCCTCTTCATATTTTTTCGATCTACGATTATCAAGGAAATAAATGGAATGGAAATATATTTTATGCAAATAAAAATAAATAAATAAAAAAATGTTGCGAGCACTAATATAATTGTGAAAAAAAATTTAAAAATCATAAAAAAATCCAATTTATCTGTCATACTGACCAAACATTGTTTTCTATAGAGTATGTTTTTGAGAGGTATTTTAGTAAAACTAACACATTTTTTATTTGTATCAACAAAAGGGCCAATGGGAAAATTTCATAGTGAATAAAATAAAATAGATAACACGGTAACAAAGATAATTACAAATTAGTCAAACTCTAGATTTAACTTGATTTTAAAATGAGTTATCATTAGTAAGATATAGGAAAAATAGTTTGAGAGTAAAGTAATACATCATTATAAGGAAATGAAATTAACCCGAGTCAACTGTGAAGATGAAATGATCTTGCTAGAGTTTTGAAAGGGAGACACGTAAGTATGCCTTTGATCAGCAATGCTAATTAAAATTTACAATAGACATGGTATCTTTATAACCAAGACAGCAAAGTCCAAAATCAATATTCTAACCTAACCATCTCAAGAATGAATCAAAAAACTAATCAGTGTAATGAAAAAAACACGGGAAAGGTTGGTAATGGGACAGTTTTTAACTTTTGTAGTGTCACCAGATTTTCAAATAAGAAATATAGAGCTGATTTTAAACATGATTTATTAAGAAAAGTTTGTTAATTTTAAGAAAGTAATAGTGAATTATATAGATGGTAAAATTATTAAAAACTTTCCAATAAGCATTTATGTTACAGTTTTTAATGTCGATTTTGACAGAAAATACTTCTCAAAAACATATTCTGTGTGGATAATAAGAAAAAATAATAAAAGCAAAAAATATAAAACTACAAAAGAAAATCTTTAAATAAAATAATAAGAATAAATAATCAATTTTTTTTTTTAGGACAATATTTTTGGGATATTATTGAACATTGCATAAATATTAAATAAGTAGTTTATTCATTATAAGTCACTTTATACTATATTTTATTTAAATATCATAAAATAATAATAATGGTATAAAGAAAAAAAAGACTTAAAGTACTAATACAAAGTTTGATTTACATTAGTCATTATGTAGGAATATAAGAGTGTATAGAATAATGTTTAAATGTTTATATTTCATAAACTAAATTACATTTATACACTAAAATAGAATATTTGTAAATACAAATGTTGATAATGTAAAAGATAAATAAATAGTATAAAATCATTACCTAATCACTAATAGTCTGTGGCTCGCATCATTTATTTATTTATTAATTCCTACTTAAACAAATGTATGCACCCAAATACAATTTTATTATAAAACATAATTATTAGACATTTTGAATAATATAGTTTCTCCATAAATTATAAAATCAAAATGCCACAAAAATATTATGTAAAAGAATTCAAACAAATGGATATTGCATTTAGATGCATATCAACTTTTCAAAGATAAAAGAATATGAATTGATAAATACATACACCTCTTCAGTTTTTTTCAAAGCCTCTGTTAATGTTACATTTTTTGATTCCAGTTTAGAAACAAACTCTGACTTGTGCTTAAGCGAACTCTCACTCTCCTGTAATTAAACCTTTAACTAGTTTATATAGATAAAGAAATATGAAGAAAATTAACCTAATTTTTATTATTTACTCTAAATTTGGCATTTTAACTATAAGTATATATTTTTCTTTAATTTAAACATTATTAGATTGTTCGGGATCAGTTAAGGGTTCAGGACTTGGTGCATTCTCTTTCAAAACTGGAGTATATGACTGTCGATGAAGTGATCTGTCTGGTCGAGAAGCCAACCTAGTGTCTGAATTGGAATTCCTCATGCCAGCATTGTTTCTCAATCTCAATTGTTGTGCGTCGTGGAACTGTAAATTGCTCAGCAAGCAACCAATCTGTTCAGTTTTTTTTTGTAGTCGGCTCACCATTTCAGCTTTTTTGGTCAAGTCTTCTTCACATTCCTGATCATTTCCCGACCCAATATTGTAGATCACATTTTATAACATTTTAAATAACCAAATCATCAACCATAATTAAATACCAATATTTAACAAAAAGTTAATAATATATATTAATTTGATTGTGGGTCTCACCTGTAATTTTTTATACATTTCCAAATTAATCATTTTGATGTCATCTAATTGTTTTCGTAGAGAAACAATATTTTCTTGTTTTTCTCTACTTTCTTTTTCTAAAAGTTTCATTGCAACCTCCATTTCAGCTTTAAGACTCATCTAATTACATAAAACAATAATCTTCTCAGTTTTTTGTTTATTTCAAAACAACAATATATACTTGTAAATGAAGTTCCTTCTCAGCTTCAATTCTTTGTTTTTTTTCATTTTCTGCAAATTGCTTTAGTGTATCCATGTCGCCAGTAGGAACATCAATAGTCAAAGGTTCAGCCTGTAATATTTATTATATAGGTAACTATTAACATTAAACAGAATATCTTTTCAGAAATACTAGATAAAAATTTATGTTATCTTATTGTTATTTAAAGTTAAAAATTAAGTATCTACATTTTTAGAATCATTTTGTTTGATCAACTGATTTTTGATTATTTGGTTTTCTTCTTTCAACATAGCATAACTGTTATTAGCCATTTCAAGTTCTTCTTTGATTAATGTATTAGACGTTGTAAGCGTTTCTACTTTAGACTCTAAATTTGCCACTGTTGCCCTAAAAACCATTTAAATGGTTATCTAACAAAATTAAATTGTACATAAAACATACTTAAGATGGCAATTCAGTTCTTCTATATAATTTTTTTGGTCAAGTACTACATTCATATTTTCCGACTCGAGACCTAAAGGACTATCAGGACAACTGACAGTGCCTTGTATATGATGATTAGGGTGATGACTTGAGCGCAGATATAATGAGAAATCAATTACACCTTGTTGTGAATCTAAATCCTCTTCCTAGTAAAATATTATAAAATTGTAAACAAAATGACAAAAATTTGCTTAATTTTTTTTTTCTTGTGAATTCTTGCCTTAATACATAAATTGCAGTCAATAACATTAAGGCCAACCATAAGGCCAACAATAACAATAGCTTCATCACTCATCATTAAAGCATCTGGCTCAAAATAATCTACTAATTCTTCATCACGATTGTCCACTAAAATTTTCAAATAATCAGCCAACTTTTTTTGCATTAAGGCTACTCTTAACCAAGCTCTTGCTCTACCCATGTGAGTTCTGAAAAAATAGTAATTTAAAAAAGTTCATATGTTAAAATGATTTTAATTTACTTGACAGTAGGTAAATCTCGAATACTATTTGTTAATTCTTGCGCATCCGGTGTTAACTTTTCAACAGTTTGTAATATATCCCATAATTCTTTTTTGGGGCCCAAAAGCCCTTTTTTAGGGCGTAACCCATGTCTCAGCACATGTTCCAAAACAATAAAAAAGTGTTGTAAAGGTGCATGATCTGAATCAAGCATACGTCCATTTTTCAGTGAATTTTCAATTAGTTCTTTAACAATCAGCTTGGATATGTTTACCAGGTTACGTCTCTCGATCAACACAGGGTCACGATCTAAATTCAACAATTATAATTGGATTATTCTAACATAAAAAGGTATTTTAATAAAAATTATCATGATTCTTAAGTAACTGAATACCTAATAAGAATGGTAAGTCTGGAGAAGTAAGACATTGTGATGTAAAAATATCAGATAATGGATCATCAGTTATTTCACGTAAACATAACCATTCGCCCTCAACTGACACCCGGAAATTACACAAGTACAAATCTTGAGAGCTTGGGTCCAAGTTTTGCATCCATTTATTTAACATCATCGTTCTTGTTTTTAAATAAAACAAAAGAAATCTTAGATAAAAGGTAAGTAAGGTTCATGTGTACCAGCATTGTGTTTAAAATCAAAATCAAATTTAATAAAATAATTATACTATATTAACAAAATAACAGAAATAATAACATGCAAACACAATTTCAGGAACTATAATCCTAATGCAAACAACACGACAAAAAATTAAATAACAAAAATAAAAAGTATGAAGTATGCATAGTAAACAACATTATTGTTATGTAGTATTTATTTGTTCAATGTAAACATTAAATAACAAATTAAATTTAACAATAAATATCTAATAAATAATAGTTAATAAAGTAACATTAACATTAAAGAAGATAATAGTTAGCATAAATAACAATAGCCTATAATCTAAAACATAATTTCGCATACAGTTAAAATGTAATGTTATGTTATGAATACAATAGGTAAGTTATATAATAATTATAATATTGGACTGATAATAATATACTTAATTAAACAGTGTCATCACGCATTTCTAGGGGGAAGTGGAGGAGGCATTCTTTGTCTTGGGGGTAATGGTGGTAAAGGAACACTTGTGGGTGTCGAGGGTGGTGGATAGTTTGGCATTCCATCAGAATTTGGACTTTGATCAGACCTTGCAGGTAATGGAGGTCTCATTGGAGCAGGTCTCAACTTGTCCGTCCACAAGGGCACAACGTTGTTTGTGATAGTTTCAATCTCACTTTTTATAGCTAATGCCCAATTATTATTTTTAGCAGTTAAAATTAGAGTATAGTTGTAGATTGATATTTGTTTTATTTTTAAAGCATTAGCTGCAGAACGACCATTTTCATAAGTGATTTCGGCATGATCTGTGAAATATCTGGCATTTAAAATTTTACCAAAAGAACCCAAGCCCTGAAGCATTATATTTTTAAATGATTCATCATTTAAAGGGAAGTCAGTGTTTTCAATATGTACTAAAATAACTCCATCAATTGGTCCATATTCATTCCATATTATATTTAATTCTTTTTCTCTTTGGGTTTGATCAACACACAAAATTTCAATTTCATAACAAGCCGTTACAGGCCTATGATCACTCTCTTTGATTTCAGCACGTCCGTAGAATACTTGCTTACCACTTGGCCATTCATTACTTTCATTACAGTACCAAAGTACTCGATCAGTCCAAGCTGGTGTACGGCATTTATCACTCGAGTCATATTCATCTGATAGTATGTCATATTTGTAAGTTGGAGGAAATGTTATAGGAGCTTCAAAGAAATTTTCGAATACTTTTTTATCTCTGCATTGAGCTAAAAGTTGATCATACTTTAAAACTTCTTCTAAGTCTCCATCTAGTACATGATTTATGAGATCTAAGCGATCCATATCAACCCGGTAATTAAAATCTCCACACCAGTATACATAATCATTTGATTGAATTGGAATTTTCAATTTTCTAGCTATTTCATTGAAGTCTGCATTACGATCAGCAACTTGTGATTGTCCGGCAGCAAAGTGAGAGCATATAAAACAAAGATTTGTAGCATCTAAAGTAAATCTCACTGTTACAGCTCCTTTATTCCCAGTTGTTCCTCCCATTCCTGTCTTAACAAAGTCAGTAGTAACATCTTTAATATAAGGTAATAGTTCTGGTTTTACAAATATAAACAGACAAACACCAACTAGTTGTGTACTAGTAAGTAGGACATAATCTCTTTTAGAAGACAAAATATTTTTAAGACTTTTATTCCACGAGTCTGCATTGTTTGAACTAGCAGCCATAATATTACTGGCATTTAAGTCAACAATTTCTTCAAATCCAATTGCATAAATATCAGGAAGATTATTATTATCATTTAGGAAGAACTTTTTTGATGGATCAAACAAGGAGACTTTATAGGGGTCCAAGAGCCATTTGGATAATGATTCCAAGTTACTAGAATCAAAATTCAAAAAATGTTTACCTCCGTTAACATTGTATGTAGCAACAGAAATTCTTAAATTACTCTTGTAAGTATAGGATTTATATTTTTTGCACATCTCTTCAGCCAAATCTGGATGGCATTGCCAAGTGTTATAAGGAAGTAATGCTTTAGCTTTTGCCAACAACTCATTGTTAAAGGCATTACCTGCTAATAATATATCAAATCCTTCTTGTTTACTGGAATCTAAAAGATTATTTTGAATAGTTCTGGCTGCAGATCGAGCTCCATCCAATAATTTAGATCCACCTTGTATTGCACCAGTACCAGCGTATATTCTACTTATCTCATTGCCATTGTTCACCCAAAGCTGTTGAAATACTTCTTCAAATCTTGATATTATTTGATCAGTTTCGTTTTGGCAAAGAAATTCCAGTTGTTTGGCCAATACATCGAGAGCAAAAAATTTTTGAATACAGTTTGTACGATCAAGACAATCGGTACAATTTATTCTCATAGTCCCCGTTTGGTGTTTTACAACAGAGTTACCTTTTGCATAAAACAAACCAAATGAATCTAAATATGGATTGACTGAGTTCTTCAATTTTTGAAGACTCTTATCACCATTACTTTTAAACTCTTGATGATAATCAAATGCAACAAATGGTATGAAAGAAAATGCTGAAGTGGAATGTTTTTGTTCAAATGCATAGCTCAAGGCAGATTCATTTTCTTTACTGTTTGAATTTGCTCCACCTAACAAATTAATGAAAATTATATTACCATAACAATCTGTTAATGACTTAACGTGTTTCTCATAAACGTCCGCTGAAGATTCTATGCTTCTTGACAGTTTTACTTTATGTGCTCCAACATTCATTCCTGGTTGTTCCCAAAATAGTGGTACACTACCTCTTATTTGCACAAAAGAAGTCACCTCATCATCCAAGTAGATAACTTGTTCAGTTTCAACAAAATTTGCAACATAACCGTCATCGTTACAACCACGAACATTGAACCTAGTTCCAGCTCTTCTACAACTTAACCTTGATATTATTGCAATTCTGGCTTGCTTGTGTCTTGCATAAACAGTTTTTATCTCGATACTGCCACACACAATTTTCATTAACCATTGGGAGGTATCAATTCCAAAATGAATAAAATATACATGTAAATTGCGGTTCCAAAAGAAACGATTATCGGGAACGCAGTTATTCCATTGTCTCTGGGCACACAGGGTCAAATCAAAACGAACATCTTGTGATACATACCTTGAAAAATAAAAACTACCACTGTTTAAAAGTTTCCGTACTTCGGATGCATAGTCATCACTCTGTTGTTTACGCAATGAAACAAATGTGGTCTGCGTGATTTTGAATATTTCTGCATCAGATATCTTGCCGACTGACTGGCAGCCAGTCACTAACACCAAGAACAGTGCTACTTTATTCTCGATATTTACATTTAAAACGCCAAGGCATCCATAGGCATCTACTATTTTCACACACTGTCGTTTGAATGTGTCAAACTCACTGACCGTAGCTGTGCACAGAGTATTGTTTTCAAATAACAGCACTTCAGCTTGCATACGGTTTTCCAGAACAACGCAATGACTGTGGTTGGACGGCTTTTCATATGCTCTGTAAATTTTGCCAATGATTGACGGCGTTTGTTTGGCAGACATTGTTCTGAGCCTCCTCCCCTGACTTATATCGTTTACTCAAACATACATGGGTGGTAAGTAGGTATCTCGGTTTCGGACTAAAAACAAAAAAACAAAAAAAAATGTAAAAAAAACAAAAAACAAAAAAAACTGACAAGCAATGATACAATGCAATAATATTATGGTGGTCATATAACAATATGGAAAATAAATAAAGCGGTGTCACGGATTATTGATCACTATTATAGCATAAAAACAGAAATAAAAAAAAAACACAATATTATAAAGCCACCACAATAGCTGGTTCACATTAATTGAAATATTGACTGGACGAACTTACAAGACTTGACTCGAGAATTCGTTTTATTAAGACGGTGTACGAGAACGCCTCTCGAAACGTACACGACACCGTCCCGCTAGGTGTCGGTGGAAAGTATTGATTTCTTGCTCGGCCGCTGGGGGGCTGCCTGCCTGCCTGCTGCTCGGTGGTCGCGCTAAATTGTAAATACATTCCGCGGCAAACACACGATACTACGATAGCACGGACATTTGTTCTGTTTCATGTTTGTAGATACTATTCACTAGATTGTGCCTTCTGAATTGTGTTGTGTATAGTTGTCGATTCTGCGCGCGCCCGCTTTCTCGGCGAAATCGAAGTGGTTGCGATTGTGGCCTGTGAGAAAAATCATCGGCAACCGCGGCACACGAGAACAAACAATTTTATAACCGACAAAAAGTTTGAGATAATAATATTATTACATTGTTATGTCAACACGTTGTCGTAATTCGTAAATGATAATTATCGACACTGAATATTGACATTACGGTAGGTATAATAAGAATATATGAAATCAGCTACGATGTATCGAAAGATTGTAATGCGGAACAATCGATCAGAAAAAAAAGTAACACAATCGATTTTTTACGGTGTTGTTCAGAGGCTCTTGCACGGCGTCGCCGAGGTGGCGCAGTGAAAACAATTAAACAACACACGTCATACACTGACAGCAAACTGAAATCCTGAATTGGCGATTGTGATTTGTATTTTGTGCACTGACTTTTTGCCGCTGTGGGACATGTATGCGTGCGCGTGTACTGAGTAGGTGTGACTCGGCGACGATATTTTTTTTTTTTAAACACTATTAACCGCACTGTAAAGTGTAAA